CCCCCCCCCCTCTCTCTCTCTCTCTTTCTCTCTCTTGCTCTGTCCATATCTCTCTTTTTTCTCCTCTTTTCTTTTCTAACGACGTCGATCGTTCCCGGTCAGTTCGGGCAACATTAAAGTCGCGGTGTATGGAGAGGCTATTAAACCGCCTCTAATAGTACAGATTGGTCCATCGCGGCATCAGATTCGTATCTATCGCGCTAGCAGCGACTCGTTACCCTCGAAAATCTAACGGGACCTGTCCATCACGACGAGATCGTTTCCTGTACGATACATGCTCTCTCGCGGAGTGGCCTCGAGGAGGTGGACTACGCGGCGTCAAGTGCGTGCTACTAATGTGAGCCGGTGGTACGGTTGTAACAATAACGATACGACCGGTCGGTATTCGAGTCCGTTTGATCGATGGAACGTGTAACGCGGTACAATTGTAAAATATCACAGCGAGATGATTGCGCTCAGTATCTTTTTTACGGCTTAATACAGCTTGACGATTAGATTTGTGCGGACGCGGGAGGAGGCAATAAATTAAAAAGATCATTAAGGGCAGATTGTAAGAATCGGGGAGTTTGAGGAATTACGTTTGACGTTCGAGAGAATCGTGATATATCACGGCAAAAATGGTGCAGCATTGTTTCTTAACACAGCTTAACGATTTGAGTTGCGGGCAGGCATGAGAAGGCAATACACAAGTAATATTGAAAAGAACAATTATTAAGAGCGAATTGTCAGAGTTACAAAGTTACGTTTGACGTTAGAGGATCGTAATATATATCTCTCACAGCAATGATGGTACGATATCTCTCTCACGGCCCGATGCAGTTTGCTGATTAGATTTGTACAGACACGAGAAAGCGATGGATAACAAAGTTATTGAGAGGCGAATTGCATGAGTCGAAGAGTTATACGCTTGACGTCAGGAAGTGCAATGAGAATAGCGGCGAACTCTCGTTCGGATCTCGAACTAACGAAATATGAAGTAACGCGCGGTAATATGTTCATCATGTCGGCGAATAAGGGATGAATCGCGCGACAGCGATGTGCAGGATGAACCGCCGCGCGATTCCAGCAGATAGAGACGAATAAATCCGACACGCGGCCGCAATCTTATGTGCTAGACGCGGAATAAATCCTAGCGCGCGCCGCGAAGTGGCTGAATCACGGCCCGCATAGATCTTCCCGGGGCTCTCGCGACAGAAACTCTCGCGAGAATTCCCGCGCGGCCGCAATAAATTCGCGCTCGCGGTAATGATACCGTTTGGCGGCTTTTTACGCAATTTAGAAAGCACGACCGGGAGAGATCGACGAGCCTCTACGTTAGATCGGTCGCGGATGACAAAAGGTGGAGGCGGCGGCGAGAAAGACGGCGGGGGAGGAGGGCGAGGAATCGGTGTGTGCGCTCTACGAGGGAAATCTAATATCTCTAATTTATGGCGCCAATTATATACACGGGAGAGCCCGCGATGATGTCATAGCCATTATTAGTGGTGCAATTCCGCGGAATGTCGGCCGCGCTAAGTTATGAAACTACAGAAATCTATTCGCGCCGTATAGCCGCGCGCGCTCCTGTATATGGTACACTTTCTTCTAAGCGAGAGATAAGTATCTCGCGCGTAATTGTAGCGCTGGACCGCTCTGAAACGCGCGAGAGAGAGATACTCGGCCGGCGATAATTTCGCGATAACTGGAGAATTTAATCCCTTCCGGCCGCAACAAATTCAATTGCAATAAGCGGTTGCGCGCGCAGGATCCGTAAATAACCGAAACATTATCTTCAATTTGTCCGTCGGTGCCTTCCCACAGTTGTTTCAGCCCTTTCGCGCGCGGCACGGCCGCGCTTTTAACGCGGAGGCGAGCAGGTAAATCGCTTCCCTCGCTCGTTACACACGGATACGCAAGGACTCGAGTTCGCGACATAAGATTTTTGCGCGAAGAATCATAGCAACAGAAGATGCATCCGCGAAGAAAATACCTCCGCCCGATTGTGCGGAGTACAGCCGGAATAATTCACGGAGCAAGACAAATTGCGAAGGAAATTTGCGAACAATCCTGTCGGACGTTTCTCGTTCTGCCTCGCGTACACGTAAGAGCCGATAGCGAGCGCGACGCCGATTGAAATCACCGGGTCGTGAAGGGTTAACAGGCCGATAGAAACAGGTGGCTTTTAATCCGCGGCTTCATAAGAGCGGAATGTTGCCGGCGAGAGGCAGAGATAAATAAAGATAGACTCGCCGCGGAGCGGCTCCAAAGCGCGGAAAAGCGATTAAGGCAGTTACGGACGAATTATCGCCTCATCGGCCGCAACTCAGCTGCGCAGCTTTATTTATCGCGATGCGATCCCACGAACGGCACACTCTCCCTTCTCCCCTGTCTGTTCCGCCAAGGATTCAATCGCGAGGTTGTTCTGGCAGTGGTGAATTCTCGACCCTTCGCGGAAAAGTCTACGCTACCCGGCTAAGGCGTTTAAAAGCGGGGCGAGATACGAATTCCGGCTGACCTGAATCTTTCTCTCTCTTGCTCCGTCTCGCGCGCGCAAAAGGTGCCGCGCGCACCTCCGGTTTCGCGTTTGCTCGGCGCGCTATCGATTATTCACACAAATATTCCGCTCAGCTCCATAAAAATCCTCCGGAGAGTTTTCCTGCAACTCCTCGAAACATGAAAGACATTACAATCCGGACGGTCGATCGCCGTGAAAAGCGGTCCAAGCCGCTCACGTACACGCCCGAGCTGACCTAAATCTCCGTATCGCGAAGATACGCTTCTAATATCCGAGGATAATCGAGCTTACGGCAATGAAAAAGAGCAGAGAGGAAAATAAAGAGAGGGAGTGAGAGAGAGTGAGAGAGAGAGAGAGAGAGAGAGAGAAAGAGAGAGAGAAATAGATCGTGTCTAGAGAAAGATCGTGTAAAGAGAAAGAAGATCGTGTCCTCCGCGTCGGAGGACACTGCTGCCAGCCGTCGTAATCCTTGACGTTCCTGTATTCCGAAAGAATTCGTGCTCGCCGGGGCGCGATGGCCAAATGACCTAGCAATGCGATCGCACAAATTTCTCGTGAAATTTCGCGACGGACCTTTAAGCCCTGCCCGAAAATATCGCATTAACTCCCGTTGTTTCATGGCGGCCCTGCGGAGCCCCGACAACGATCCGCGCGACGATTGCGAGAGGTCGCAGGGTGTAGTGGGTGCTCCCTTCCTTGCTTGAGATTGCCGCAATAGCGAGTACACGCGCAATTCCGTATCCTGCTCGCGAGGAGAACAGAAGCTACTCGAATCGCGAGTAAGAAGATCAGGGAGGAGATACGATACGATACGGTACAGTGCGGTGCACGATGCGTGTGCAGCCGTACGTGTCTGCAAGCAACGCGGCGAATCAATTCCCGCGGGTTTCGCGCCGGGAAACATTTTGACGAAAATATCGCGAAATTCGGTCAGCTTAAAAGTGGGACGCGTTGTCAGTTTGAATTCTGTCGCGACCGCGCACATTCGGGAGAGGGCAAATTTCGCTTGACGTTGTCGGGCTACGGCCATTTAAAAATGATACCGCTACTTTCGCCCGTCGCGATATATATGTGTCGTCCGAATATCGACGCTCCGTCGTCGGGAGCGCGACAATTAATTGAAAGAAGAAAAAGAAACGAGTGAAAATGACATGCCCAGACAGACATTCACAATCATTACGACGTGAGACAATTGATGACGGGAACAATTCTTTTAACCCTCCGCTGCCCTCCGTGCCCGGCTGACGGACGTTAATACTCTCGTATGAGCGAAAAATTCCGCGATGTTATTAATTAAATTTAAGTGAAAATTTAATTATTACTGTATTATAACACAGCTTCATAAAAACGAGCAAGTATATGTAAAACATTGACTTATTATCGATTTATCAGAGGAAAGCTGAAATTTGGTAAAAGCACAAGTCGCATTAACTTCACGTGTTTATTCTCGCTATTTGCGCGCGCTAATATAATGCTAAAGTTATACCAACGAAATTAAGAAAACGCGCGAGCATACAAATATAATCTGAAAAGTTGTAAATGAAAAATCAAAATGTTCTAATCGCTAAGTCACTTTTATATAGAAAATAAAATTTCAACAGAACGTTTTCGTCTCATACGAAGACAATGGAAGGTTAATTACACACACCTCTAAAGCGCATATATTCTATTGAATTGATTGTAATATATTCTATTGATTGATTGATTTGCAAATATATTCTATTGATTCAATTTATATTGTACGATAGTATAAGTTTTCTGTTATCGAAAGTTACACTCAGATTTTTATATGAACATGACATATTGTTTGGAGCAAATTTTGATCTTTTTCATATTTCCTTCCTATCACCATTCTAGATGTCAAACGAGAAAAAAAGAGTTCACATCGCGAGCGTACACGTGAGTCACGTATCCCGAGAAAACCAAATCACACCTTTCGTTCGTTTATTTACTCGGCATTTTTGTATGATTTTCAGAACATAAAAAACCGTGCGGCTGAGCAGCAGAGTAGCGTTAATCGTGAAAAGTCGTCGATACCGTTCCTAACATCGGTAAGTACACGTCGGTACTATTGCAAGAGCATCTGCGAGTCCAAGGGAAAGTAGTATCGAAATAGTGAGGTCGGTAGCGTCGCGGAACTCGAAATCCGAGCGTACATCCTACGTAAGAGGAGAAACGATCGCGTCGCGAGCCAGTTTGGCGCAATTCCTGGCGGATCGGCATTCGACTCTGAAATTCGCGCGAGCGGGGATAGTCGCGGTGGCGCGCTGCCTTTGCAGAAATCCGGAGAGCCTTGCCGAGCTCTTACCGCGAGTCGCGCAAGGCCGTTTCAGCGCTGGTATTCGGGCCAGCCGTTTCTCTAGAAAGGAGCACGCCGCTTACGCGGCCGCGACACGACTCGCACGCAGAAAACAAAAACATTTCTCCGCGAGTTTCTCGCTCCGGAGAGCGGAGATCCTGGCGCTCGCGCTTGCCGATGGACAGATGGATGGATGGACTGGCCGTTCGTCCGTCTGCTCGCGCGCATCTCGTATCCTTCACGTCGAGATACGCGTACCATACACACACACATTGGCGCACGGTATCGCGTCGTGCAGAGTACCGAGAGCGTTCTTCCCGGAAAGAGAAACAAGCTCGCTCGCGCGAGCATAGCCGCACCGCAAAATTCGCCTTTGCAACAATGTGCAACGCCACGCTAAACAATGCCTGAGAAACTCGCGTCAAAGTATGGACGCCCACGCTCGCCCCGCGCGCGCGCGTGCACGGCAAATTACTGGCATATTTAACGAAATCCGTTACGTAAGGAGATATATTGCCCGTACTTTCGAGAGAAATCCCCCCGTTCCAGCCTACAAAGTGCTCGCTGGACTCGCGGAGAGCCCGCGATTCTCGTATGTGCCGGTGGCTCTCTCTCTCTCTCTTTCTCTCTCTCTCTCTCTCTCTCTCTCTCTCTCTCTCTCTCTCTCTCGCGGAGCGGGCACGGTACGCGCGCGTGTACGTAGTCAAAGGCCATTGTGCCACTCCAGGATTCCGACGTGAGTCACACTCCGTGCCCCCGGACGTGGTGTGTTGTTGTCCGAAGTAAAGCGCGCGGTATGGCATGGCATGGCATGGCAAGGCAAGGCAAGGCAAGGCAAGGCAAGGCAAGGCATGGCATGGCATGGCATGGCATGGCACGGCATGGCATGGCACGGCGCAATCGCTCGACTAATCGAGATCACGCTGACTCAGAAAGAGCCGGAGAGAGAGAGCTTGTCTTTAAACGCGCTGCCTAATAAAGCGACTTTTCAGCCTGCCGGACAGCGCACATGACATACGCGCTCATATGCACACACACACGCAGGGGTTACCGGATCCCGGGACACACCGATCGCGCCGTAGAAGGCGGATGTCAAAACTCGTCCCTCGACTTTTGACAGATCTTCCCTTATAAATCAAACATCGCGGCCGAGCGATTACGGCGACGACGACGACGCCGAAGACGGCACGCGTGAGAACAAGGTCGCGGCAAAAGTTGAAGGAGAGACGAAAAGAGAGAGGAAAAGAGATGGAGAGAGTGGACAGGGGCCGAAAGGGGCAACGCGACTTATCGTGGGAACCGCGCAATCACCTTGCGCTGTTTTGAACGCGCGCGAATTACTTTTACGCGCCTTCTCGTCGCAATCGACCGCACAGTGTCGGTGTCCGCGTGTCTCGCTTGTTCGACTTACGTTACATAAACGAGCTTCGGTTATATAAACCAGGCTTTGACGCAACGCGAACGATGCAAAGGATTATCTTCGACTTTTTCGCGCACGCGCGCGCGTACTGACGTCGATATAAGGTCAACTTTTTAACGGCGTATTTCTGCTCCTACTTTTGTTGTTTTTTCTCTTTCCTTTTTCCCCTTCGACTGCGCGGATACTTCGTGACGAGGAAAATATCTCCGAGCGTTCCTCTTTCTCCGAAAGAGAGATAGAGGAGGAGAGAGAGGAGGAGCAGAAGAGAGGAAGAGAGAGAGAGAGAGAGAGAGAGAGAGAGAGAGAGAGAGAGAGAGAGAGAGAG